AGTGAGTGAGTGAGTGAATGAGAGAGAGTGAGAGTGAGTGAGTGAGTGAATGAGAGAGAGTCCAATAATTACTTTTTAAAGGAGGTGGTAGCGCAAATGCATTTGGGGACATCTGGATTTGTGTTCTAAAGGGCCTTGACTATGAGGAAGACAAGTCCCTCCTGGACAGGAATCCCCTGCCTCGGCCAGCAGTCTGACTCCCCACAAAGGGGTCAAAGGACCTGGACCCATCCGAGGCTGTCTGGCAGAGTGTCACAGAGGGGAGAGGAGGAGACCTGTGTCCCAACTCCTCTGCTGTCACAAGGATCGGATCGCACAGCACTGGATCCAACCCACTGGAGGCAGATCTTATTATTTTCTACACCTGTTAGTGCAAGGATGTTCAAAAAGACCCTGGGTCTGGTTTTGACATTAAACAAACAAACAAGCCATAGTGAGGAATGATCAGTACTTGTGTTGTTTACCAAGCATCATGCCCTTTCCCAGGGACTGGTCTCTCTTGATATCATGTCCAACGTACGTGAGCCGAGTCTCGCTAGCCTTGGTTCCTTGAAGCAATTGGCTGTACTTTGTCCAAGACAGATTGGTGTGTTCTTTTGTCAGTCCATGCTTTCAGTGTTCCTCGCCAGGACCGTATAGTTCAATCACATTGATTAACAAGGCATATTACCTGGTTTTAGAGCAAAGGCCCCAAGGGTCTGGTGGCCCACAGTAGATTGGTTCATCCTATAAGAAAAGAAAGGAAGAAGAAAAAAAAAGAAATCAGATTTTTTTCATCAGTGTCTCTTTATTGTAGAAGAAAAATAACAGTCTAGTCTCTCTGCCCTTAACTTACCAATTGTCTTCACATTCTAGTTTCCTTTCAAATTCTAATGCAGGTGCACTTTCCCCCCGTTTTCCCTCATATATATGGTTTATGGAACGGCCCTCGGTGTTCATAGTTACCTGTAATGGCTATGTCACCCACTCGAGTGATGTGCCATATGTTTTTACAGCTTAAGGATTTTGAATTATATACTTACAAGTTTGTTATTATAAATAATACTACAGTATACAGTTTCCTTTGTACCTTAAAAAAATTACGTTGTATGTAAGAAAATCAGGCCTTATGCTAATCCCACTGTTTCTCCAGGTCTACTTCAGTGACCTCGATGACAATCTGCAAGTTGTGTCCTCATTCTCACCCTCCTTACTTGTTTCTTCCCCAGTTCCCTAAACTCACTGACCCTCCTGAGGGGCCTGTGTGACCTTTCTAGTTGCTGTTGTCAATTTGATCCTATCTGGCTCGTTCTTAAAACAGCGTGCCATGCTCAAGGCAGACATTATTTACTAGTTAGTAATGCTTTACTCAATGATTATATGGCTTCAAGAGGACCTCAGGGTCTATTTTTGTTTTGGGATTTAAAAATCATCTCAGGGAAATCATTTCAGGGGTTTCTCTAGCTCCAGGCAGGCTAGATTCCAGGAGATGTTGAAATTCTGTTCTATATTTTCGCTCTCTGATCAGGATTCTTCAACAGAATCTTTGATTTTTCTGGTCTCCTGGCTAAGGGGAGGGGGTCGTGCCTGAAGGTGGTCTGCCACCACACATTTCATATCCAGCCCCTCTTCCCGACTCTCCTGCTTTTTCGGTTGCTCCATGGGGATTGAGGCCACGTGTTGTAGTTTTCATGGTCACATGAAAGCTTTTAAGACTCCAGACACAACCCACTGAAGGATGAGGTGGATCAGAAGTGCTAAATATGCTGTTAAGCTAATTAATTGAGATGTTCTGTAAAACCATGACCCTAAACCTCCAAAGAGAGGAACCAAATCCCATGAGGTATCTGGCTGTACACAAGCAGCTTTGGCACTCACTGTGTTTGGGGTTGTTGTTATACACACACATTTATCAACTCAGATATTTACAGGAGTACAGCTTATTGACAACAACTACATTAATTGTTCACTCCCTCCCCTTGCTCAAGCACTCTTTCTATCATATTACATGGAAACTCAGTGCTCCATCAACGATAGCTACCCTGCCCCTTTCTGCACTAATCTTTGATCTCTATACATTTACTTAGTCTTGGCTTTTTATGTGAGCTCCTGTAATACGAGTCGCTTTATGACTGACTTATTTTACTCAGCTTGAGGAATGTCTTGCAGTCCCATCCACATCACGTTCCTCCCAGTGGGTGATGCCGCCCCCTGCGGGGCGCTGGAGTGATCTGGGGGTGGGGTGGGGACAAGCAGACACCTGCACTTTATCTTGGATGATGGGCTCTTGTATACAAGGTTTTCATTGCCAGGGGCTGCTGAGTCATATTTTATCTGAAAAAGGAGAATAGGCCAAATCAGATTGGGAACCTCTGATCCATGTCTGGAACACCTCATAGAATTTCTCTTTTATTTTGATTTTCTTGCGGTGAATTCCTAGGACTGCACCACGAGGTAAAAGGGCATCGTGTAAACTGCCACGCTGTTCTCTGGGGCAGTGGTGCAAAGTTCAAGGTCCGCAAAAGAGAGGCATGAGCAGCCCCCAAAGTTGGCTCCCGAGTGCCGGAGTGAGGCTTATTCAGCTACTTCCATAATTGTCATCTTTTACAGTTTTTAGTTATACACCTTTTTGACTGGTTCAGTTACTTTCTCCTGTGAATCATGCCAGCAGGTTTTTTTCATTGTTTACATTTTAATTGGCACCTAATCCACATACCATACAATTCAATCATATACAATTCAATGGTTCAATCACCACAATCAATTTTAGAATGCCCCCCCCCCCCACGGTTAATTGCCTTTAAAATGAGTGGTGTAAGCACAATGAGTTCTAATGCTCCCTCCCTCCTCTCGCCTTCATTTTTTTGGAAGGAGCGTTTGGATCATTCAAACAACCACGAACTCAAACATTGTTATTAAGCGTTTGTAGTCTAAAGTGTGTTCATAACCAGGGTCGCGATGCTCGTGATGCCCGGTGAGGCCTTTAGGAATGGGATGAGCATCTTATCCATGTTCGGAACGGTGAGAATGGAATCGCAGCAGCTCTAAGGTCAAGCCAGGTGGTCACGGAGTCAACAGCCTGAGAGGGCTCGCCGGGACCACTCCTGCTTTCTTCTCCTGTTCCCTTGCACAGGACTTTGGCAGCCCGAGATCCGTCACCTCTCGGTGTGACTTGAGGGAAAACCTCATCAGCCACGGCTGTGCAGGCCAGCTGGAGAGCCCGGGCAGCAGCACCCGCGTCGTGCGGAGCCAGCCCCTCAGCTCCAGCTCCGCGGGCTCAGATGTCATCCAGATGACGCCGCAGGAAGTCATGCTGAGCCTCCGGCCCGGTGAGTTGCCCTCAGTTCGGGCTGGGTGCTGAGGACCCAGGGGATTGCATTAGGGATGTGGGGCAGCTTACTGAAGGGAGGGGGGGGCGCAACTGAACCCCTCAGGCTGAGATCAGAGCCAGGAGGAGGTAATGCTGAGGGGGCCCAGGTGCCCGGGCATTGTGGGACACTTGTGCCTCTGGCTGGAACTTGGAACCCTGCCTCACTGCCACCGAGTCGATGCTGACGCAGGGTGCCCCGACGCCCCTGCTCCGCATGAAACTGCAACGTCTCACAGGAGCACAAAGGCCCGTCTTGCTCCCAAGTTGCCGCTGGTGGTTTCGAACTGCTGGCCTTGGGGATCACAGCCCAGTGTGTCCAACGTGTAACCACTCCATGCCCAGGGCCGGGCAGGTGGAATACTTGTCCTTATTGCCTTGTGTGGGAGGATAGCAGTTCGTGCAAGACGGAGGACTCCATGCGCGCGTCATGGCGGCTGAAGGGAAAACACTCAGATGTTTGTGTTGCGGCCTTGGCGCCCTTGTGAGCCAGGGAGTTGAGTGTGAGGGTAGGAGGGAATGTAACTGTTTTTGCATACCTAAGAAAACTAACAAAAATGCTGTGATGAAGTTCATTCCCAACTCTTGGCGCCCCCATGTATCACTAAGTAGAGCTGGCCCGTGGCTTGTCCTGGCTGTCACCTTTATAGACACCACGGGTCACCAGGCCTTTCTTCCACCAGGCTGACGCATGGGTCTGGACCACCAACCCTAGGTCAGGCTGTGGGCACACAACATTGCTGCCACCCAGCAATGACTTGCCCGACTCTAAGTGGGCGATCCCATCTAGTGCTTGAGGAAATGGCCAGCCAGGAAGTGGCAACGTTTGCTGCGGTCCCGGGTCCTGTGACTGCTAAGCTTTTGCTCGCTTCCGGGTCTCCCCTTTGGAGCGTCTAATGTTCGAAAGGCCAGGTCCTCAAAATGTCAAAGATTAGTGGTAGGCGTGAATGGGGCTAAACGTGGCAAGCGTCACATTGCTGAGAAGGGGACAGCTCCTCGCCTCAAAAAAAAAAAAAAAAAAGGTTCATTGGGTTTTAGCCTTTTCTTCTGCCCCCTGGCCTAGAAATAACTGCCCTCACTGTGTCTAGAAGGCGTCTCCAGACTTCAGGGCGGCGTGGAGTCATGAAAGGATCGTGGGTTGGACTGGGCGTCCTGGATTCCAGCTCAGGCTCCAGCTTAGAGGCCCTGGGCAAGTGACTCAACTCCTTGACGTCTCAGATTCATTGCTGTCGCTTTCATTCCTCTCAGGCATGTTTGGGAATCTAAATTTGAATCGATGTACAGTAGAACCCCGGACCTCGATGCTAATCCGTTCTAGAAGGAGCGTCGAGATGTGATGCAGTCGAGTTCCGCATCAATTTTCCCATAATAACTGAAAACGGATTAATGCATTCTTGACCACCGAGTTTGTACCCCAACCTTGCCTTTTTATACGTAATATTACACAGATATTTCAAAGTAAATAAGTTCAGAGTTAAATAATATCATTTAAATAAGAAACAGAACATTAAAAATGTTTTTGACAACTGCAGTATGCCCATACCTGGAGACTGATGAGCATCTGCATCTGTGGACCCAGATGTGGAGAGGAGGGATGGAGAGAGAGTCATTGTTTGGAAGGGGAATCCTTTTCCATAAAATCTACTGGTACCTGCTTTTCAGGACTTTTTCCCCTTCTTTGCCTTTTTTTGATAGGACCTGGCTGGCTTTCTCTTAAAAAAAAACACTAAACCCTCCCCCCTGTCTAATGTGGTTTGCTGTTGACTAAAAGGGTTTATAAATTATCATCCACAATATCGATAACATGGTTAACCAGTTCCTTATCATAATGATTCTTTTCTTGTAGTTGGTTCCCCCTTTCCAACCCACTCTCCCTCTATTCTCCCAGTCATGATGATTCTTTTCAGAAACTTTATGACCCCTGTTTTTTATCTAAAAACAGTACAAAAAGCCACAAAAACTAAGAGTATTATTGCAAAACGCTTGGAACACAGCCATAAAAGGTTTAAGCAACGCCAACTAACGCCGAGGGACCGAAACATGAACTGCTTTTGTTGACAACAGTCACGTGTGTTGGGTTGGATTCTGATGTTTTGTTCGAACTTTTCTCGACATTTTGCATTGAAATCCGATTATGTCGAGGACTGATGCGGTGAGGTCCTGGGGTTCTACTGGACAATGTATGTATCCACTTCACGAGTTCACATCGTTCTTCTTTTCAAAGAGTAGTTCCTGGGCAGGGTGTCGATGGAACACAGGCTTGGGCAGGGCTCCTCTGGTCCGACACTTGTGCCCAGTCGGCTCGGCCGCTGGTGGGTCCCGGTGTGCCCCGAGACCTGTGCTCCGTAGGGTTTTCAGGGGCCGATTTTTCCGAAGTAGATTCCCAGGTCTTTCTTCTGAGATACCTCCGAATGGACTTGAACCTCGGACCTTTTGGTGAGAAGGAAAGCGCTCACCCAGTGCTGTCCTGCTGCGCTAGTTGGTGTTGAAAATACGATGATGGAAGTTACAAGAGCTAAGATTTCCCGGCGTGCCATCAATGGTGTGGAGGGAGCCCAGGCTTGGAGCAGACAAAGCTGGTTGAAAATGGCTATGCGACTGGAGGGCCCCTGACTAAACCACCTCACCTTCCTCCAGAGCTGGGCCAGATCATCCCTGCAGACTAGCTGGCTCCAGGGCTCTGGAAGCCAGGCCCTACTGAGGCAGAGGTTTCAGGCGCAGTTTGGTTCACGCTGAGATGCCCCTAACCTTCTAAACACAGTTTCTCCCTGCGTCTTTCTTTCCTTCGATCCCACTCATAGCAGTTTTGAGCTGCAGGGCTTCAGGCTGCGTGGGAGCTAGGAACCCAGAGCCGGTGCCATTTGCTTGGTGCTGCTTGTATGTCTTTCCCCGAATCCCCGAGCAGCAAGGCCCTGCTTCCCAGGGGCCACTCAGAGACTTTCCTCGGGAGAGGGGACACTCGGAAGCTGCCACCTCACTCATGCTCAGAAGAGTCAGATCAATTTTCTTACTGTTGTCGTGAATGCAAGATGTCACCAATGCAGGAGGCCCACAAGCCAGGAGTCTGTGCACTGGGCTGTCTTGGAAATAAACAAAAGGAGCGGTGAGTGCGTCGGTCTCCGGGAGAGAGAGAAGCCCAGACCCCTGTTTGTCAGGGTGTCAGGGCCGCGATGCACAGAAGTGGCTGTGTCTGCTGACCATCCCACTGCCCGGGGTGGCGCTAAGCCTCTGTGTTTCGTGTGTTCCCACGTGACGAGCGCACAGTGTGAGCGGACAGAGGTCTGGCCACGTGCCCTCTGGGAAAAAGGCTCTTCTCCGTCTTTTGAGGACGGGCTGTGGGCAAGGAGGGAGGGGTGGTGGTCTAGGAAGGGATCGGAGAGTCCCTGTCAACTACTAAGATATGGCAGCATTGGGTATGAGAATGGCTATCAAGAATTGACAGTGACTTATGGTCCTTTTTATCACACTAGTATCAGAACAGGAACTTCAAAGAAATTTTAGAAAAAAAACCATCCACCTTAGCAGACAATTGTTTGGGTTTTTTTTCTTCTTCTCTATATCCTTTGTTGGTAGCCACATGCATTCACAGTTTGTACAGATACAATCTTCATGTATCATAATTGCATATTGCTTTTACTCAGTAATGAAAAAAGCAAACCCAACCCAAGCCTGCTGCCCTTGATTGATCCTGACTTGTAGCTACTGTTTAGGAACATGGCGGAACTCTGTGTCCCCG